ATAAGTCATCTAAAAAGACAAAAATACCACATACAGTAATAAGTCATCTAAAAAGACAAAAATACCACATACTGTAGTAAATCCTCTTAAAAAAAACCTCAATAAATACAACATACGTAAGTCCTCTAAAAAAACTAAAAATACAATTTACTATATAGTAAGTCATCTAAAAAGACAAAAAATACCACTTAAGAAATACAAATACAAAAAATACCATAAGTTATTTTGATCAATTACAGACAACTCAAGACATGAGTCATCTGAAATTGATCAACAATACATGTCATCCAAATATGAGAAAATAACATGTAAATAGTCTAAAAATATAAAATATACCACATAAAATGTTGTCTCAAATTACAAACTTACCACTTATTATTTTCATTTCCTTTCCTTTATTTAATTTGGTAAAACCCTACTGAAATCCAGATTTCATTTGCAAAAGGGACCTGAATACAGTAAGTCATCTAAAATTACAAAAATACCGCATACTATAATAAGTCTTACAAAAATCAATAAAATTACTGCATACCTGTTTACATGAACAGTGTATTTGTTTTTTTAAATCTTACATTCTGATGTGTCTCATGAAAATTTGAACTAGAGAGCACAATCTTCCAAGTCACTCTATAGACAACTTACAGAACATGTGATGTAAATATATATTTATACATTATATTCAGGCCTTACCAGCTGCTTGGTACAAATATTGTACAACTCACCTTTGGGAGGAGTGGACACGAGCCTGGAGCAGATTGATCTGTGAGGAGGACAAAACGCTAAATATCAGCTGAGCCAAAGAGAAAACCTGATACTAACCAGGAACTTAGATTGGTCATGTGTGTCCTGGCTACAAAATCTCTGAAATTAAATGTCTGCCTTCAGATTTTATCCCGAGCTGTGAAAGCACCGCCACAGCCGAGGAAAGAGATGCTCTCCTGACAGTAAAATCGTATCAAATTAGAGCCACCAAAGTGAGAGACAYCATGTTTACCTGGTTTGGAAAATGATGTTTATTTTTTAAAAAGAGGCTTTGGTTTTGCTGTTCTCACAGTGAAGTAGACAGCAGCTGATTGCCTCATCTGAACTGCAGAAGCTGAGAAAACTCATTTCCTGGTTTCGTCTCGAAGTAATAAAACCTGCCAATGGAGTTCACAACTCAGGAGACATTAACAGGCAATCTCAGCTTTATTGTTATTTTAAACTACTGATATGTGTCAGCTGGAAGGACAAAGACAAAAAATCCCAGTTACAGGTCTGTAACAGGTCTACATCTATCTAAAAACCTCCTCAGGGGAGTCTCTCGTTACAGAAACAGCTTCTGAACCTCTGTGTCCAATTATTGACATTTTATCCAACAATCTTTACTGGTTTGTGTTTGTAAATCAGTTTAATTAATGTAACCGCACTAATCTGATGTTCATTAAGAAAAAGTATTTAAAGGCACAGTGTGTAGGATTTGTTGTTTTCAGCGACATCTAGTGGTTGAGTGGTTGAATCATCCTCCCTAGTCCTCCCCCCACCCCCACCCCCCACTTCCAAACACAAAGGAGTTGCTACGGTGTCTCTCAGGTGTCAAAAACCTTTGATAATTCCAACCGCGATGTCTACCAGCAGCTTCAGGGCTAGTGATGTTTCAAGTGGTAACATCATGAGCCATAAGTAAAAT